GTTGTTGTTGTTATTTATACTTTATTCATTAAACATGAAACTCAGCCAACTGAACATTCAAAAATGCATTACAAATACCAGTGACTGGTGCTAATGGTTGATATGGTTTCTTGCTAGCGTCATAGGTATCAACCAAATACCTTCTTAAAATATAAGATGTTCTGAGTAGCACAGTTTTTTGCATTTCCCCTGGTGTTATTGCAGGAAGCTGCAATTTGTTGATGTATCTTATAAAATGCTTGAACATGGTACCAAGCGACCCGATGACAATGGGTATCACTGTTGTATGTTTCATCCATAATCTCATAGTTTTTCGATGGCCAGGTCGCAGTATTTTGTGATTCTCTTTTTCCCAGTTCTTTTTCTTCGACTCTGGCATCTCCTGGTACAGCGATGTCAACAAATTGTACGTTTCGGTTTTCAACAACTGTGATATCTGGTGTGTTGTGTTCCAAATGACGATCCGTCTGTATCCGAAAGTTCCATAAGATCTTCACCTTATTTTCAATAACTTTTTCCACATTATGTTCCCAATGGCTTTCTGGATACAGATATTTTTTACATAATGACCAGTGGATTAATTTAGCAACTCGGTCATGTCTAGCTTTGTATTCTGTGCGATTTTGCTGCATTCACATATTAAATGTGAAACAGTTTCGACTTTGTTATTGCAAAGTTGGCAGTTTGGATTGTCAGTGGATTTTTGTATCTTTGCATTCATGGCATTAGTTAGCAGTGCTTGTTCTTGAGCAGCGAGTGTTAAACTTTCCGTTTCTTTCTTGATGCTTCCCATATTAAGCCATTCCCACGTAAGGTTGTCATCACATTTTCCTTCAATGGTTTTCAAGTGTTGTCCATACAAAGCTTTGGTTTTCATCCATTTAATCTGTCATCCAGCTGTTTTTCCTTATATTCTGCCTTTGTTTCTGTTGTTTTTATAATTTTTTATTCTTCTACAGTTTGAAGGATTTGCAATAGCCCTCTGTCACCTATTTTTCTTGGCAGGTGCAACCTGTTGATGTCACTTTGTGGATGTAAAGTGTGGTACATATTCAAAAGTTTATACTTTTTCCGGTCCAAATTTTCCAATTCAGCCAAAGTTCAGATGATGATTCCAGCTGAGTAGCTGAGTCACTGGAACTGCCCATGTATTAATGGCTTTAATTATTTTCCAGCATTCAGCTTTGATTTTAATATTTTGTAGACCCACCTGATGTATTCCTTTTGCGTTGATTCTTCGACTTTTCCATTCAAGATGTTATCTGCTTCCAATATGCCTAGGTACTTGTAACCATCATCCTTTGCTAATGCTTTCACTATGTTTCCATTTCCCAGTTCTATTCCTTCTGTTTTTTCCATTTTTCCTTAATATAGCACATTTTAAAGTCCAAAGTTCATTTTGATGTCACTGCTGAACAGTTGAACTGTGTTGAGTATTGATTTAAGTTCAGTGGGGCTTTTTGTATACATTTTTAAGTCATCCATGTATACTGGATGGTTTATCTTCCATGTTGGCTTGAGATTTGGTATTCCAATTTTGTGTTTCGTAGGATTATTGTCAGTGGAATTAATGCGATGTAACAATAGTGGTGAAAGTGAGTCCCCCTGGAAGATTCCTCGTCTGATGTTGATGTTGATTATATAAGTTTGATTAATGTAACAACAACAATTATTATTATTATTATTGCTGTTTGTATCAAAATGAATTATACCCAGAGGCCACACTGTTCATGTATTGATATTGATGTATATTTAAAAATAAAAATCCAATAAAACTTAAAACAAAAAAACAAAAAGGACAACACAGTCAGGGCTGGGTTGTTCATCCCTTTCTTGGGTGTTCTACTTTTCCAAAGGTAAGGCCTTTCTTTGTATGTCTCCCACCTTCCCCCTTCAAAGGCAGAACTGAATTCCTCTACAACCTATGTACCACAGCAAAGCTCTACCATTTACAGACAGAGAAGGCCGGTCCAGTGATGAGGTTAATAAACATTTCACAAACACTATAGAAAACAATTAGATCACTCCTTATTTTGTAAAAAGCAGTCTGGGTGCTGGCACTATATGGCAGGAGAGGACAGGGGAGAAACAGAAAAATTGGCCACAGCAAATTGCCTGTGCAATTTATGGCTCTCTGCAGCTGCATGGATCTCAGTCAGAATGAATCTGAGACTGATGCCCAATGAATGCTGAGCACAAGGGGAATCTAGCTAGCATTCAGACCTCTCCTATATACATCTGTGTGCATTGCAAGGTAATTATTTTGTGTAACAGATAGAAGGATACACCTCCTCTATGTTTTTTTTAACTGTTAACATGACTCTTAAAGTTGGGCTGTTTATGCAAATGCTATCTATCTTTTGCAGTGCATCCAGCGTTCCTGGAATAGCTGCAGGGCATCCTGAAAATGAGTTGCAATTTACATTTTATTTGCAGGCGGCGCAAATCTACTAGGAATTCTCTCTTTTCCCAAACTTTCTTTTTAATAGTACAAAACACCCTAAGCTAGAGGAGTCAAGAGTCTAGTCTTCTGCCACTTACCAGGTTTCTCTTATATGGCAAAGCTATCGTTCCCTTTTTGGAATTAACGGGGGAAAGGCCAGCAACTCACTTGTCCAGGTAGACTGCAGAGAGTCCGTAGACCTGATCCATCTTTTCCACCAGAAGGTTCAGCTCAGAATGAAGCTGTGGGGTGCTTGACCCAGTGGGAGACTTGTGCAGAAAAATGTGGCATCTCTCAGTCAGTTGATCCAGGTCGACTCTCAAGTGGTGCAAATCTCCCTTCAGGCGCTGTAGAGAGAATCCCAAACCGTGAGCACAAGCAGGATTCCAAAGGCTCCTCAGTGACCAGAAGCAGGACCAAGATGCCTGGGACCATCATGGCCTCATCCAAGCTTCCCCACAGCTAGGTGTCTGGTGAGCAAGTATTTAAGGAAGGATCTTTTTGGAAGAGACCCTGCATATCTGGTCTCAATCCGTACAGAACCGTCTCCTATGCCAACAGATTTTTTTCCAGTCTAGGTTATGCTGGCAATTTGACATTTTCTTTAAACATGTGAATATAATGTTCAATATATGTTAGGGAGATGCTATTTACTAACATTTGGGAAAGAAAGAGGGATAGAAATTAAGCATAATAATAAAAGCAGTCTCACCCAGAGATTTAGAAAGGGCTGCTGAGCATTTCAAGCAAACTCAGAGTTGTACAGAACCCATGAAGGCAAAATTATGCATCAAAGCAACACAAACTCTTTCCGGTGTGTTTGTACTGGAAAGCTGCAACTTAGAGAAAGATTCTGAGTGAATTTGCTTCTTCCAATCGGCAAGATGAAGAAGAAGCAAAACAAGGAACTAAAGGACGTCATGGTTCTGGGTCTCCCTCAGAAGTTGCTGCTGTGATTTGCAGGAAGTTAGGAAACAAAACAGGGATTCATTTTGTAAGGAATAAATACAAGGTTTCCTCCTAAATTCCACACTATTGCAGCACAATCCATGGCCTCTGGACTTCTTGGTCCTCTTGCCTAAAGAGAAGGCAGCCTGAGAAATTGTTAAAGCACACCGCCTCCACCCCACGCCATCCCCAATCTGCAGATGCCAACCTCCTGCTCGGCCATTCGAAAAGTATTTTCCTGCAGAGCATCCCCATCAGTTCTGGTGCTACTTGGTGTCCGGATGGTGCCCACCAGCCGCTGCTCACATTCCTCCAGGTGAAGCCGGATGTTCTTGAGCTCAGAGAGGTAAGTCCGAGAAGCAGTCTCATCTTTATCCTCTGTTCACATATAAAAGAAGTGGACTTTAAATGATAAACTCAAATATTTTATAGATTTATGGCAACATTCCTGTTTTCAAGCCACAGCTTCCAGATTTATATTTACACCCCACCACCTCTGCCTAAAAGAGCCGCAGAAAGCCAAGCTGGGAGCCTCACTGTCGATGGCAGGAAGTAGAGCTGAGTCGGAACCCAGAGCCCCAGGAGGGCACTCTGGATTACAAAGCTAATTGCTTCCAATTGTCAGGGGACCATCACTTTTTTTCCAAGAGAGGCAGAGACAAACTCAAAGCATCAGCCAAGCCCACAAATACGATTGTCTGCTGGGGACACAGGAGCCCACCAAACTGTGCTGCCTGCTCTGAGCTGTCCTGGAGAGTCGCTGGGTGAGAGCAGAATGGACCTGGACAGGTGACTGGGAAGTCTCGCATAATATTTGAACAGTGAGTTCCTCATTTCTTTGAACTTTCTTCCAAATGTATTTTTTCTTGCTTTCTACAACACTCTTTTCCTCAGAACAGACTGGAGACCATGCAAACAATCTCAAATACAATCTCTCCAATTCCAATGAACTTCAGGTAGCATTCAAAACCATACAAATCCACACAAACAGCTAAAACACAAAACTACCAGACAACCTTAAATGCCACACAGATGTATTACACTCCCAGCTCTGGAGACTGCTCTGAACTAGGCTCACCGTTTTCCATGGACTGCAAAAGCTGCTGAAAATGCTCTTTGCACGAATCAACTTCTTCCTCAAGGTGCAGCCGATCCGCCAGGGAGAAGATCTCTGAGTCTCGGCTGTCCTCCAAGAAGTCTTCAAAGTGCATCTGCAGGTTCTTCATGGTGTGGTGGCATTCTCCTGGGGCCAGAGCCCGCAGCTGTGAGTCACAAGGAACACAAAGGACACCGCTACATGAGGATCATGGCACAAGGGTGGGCAGTCAAGGCTGCCCAGTAGCCCAAGGGACCACTACCTGCCAGGCATCTGGAATTTCCAGTCAAATATCTTCACAGGGGTTTAAGCAGCTCGTGGAAAGAACACTAACTTATAAAGAAGACAGTGGCATTTCATAAATATCTAAGCTAATGCAAAATTTCATTTCAGCTTATTGGGGCAAGGAATTGTCTTCTTTGCTTATCCTATGAAAAACCAATATATTGATAACGTCATATGAATACAGGGAGCCCTTGATTTATGACCGCTCCTCAGAGGTACTTACAACCCAGTTTCAAAGTTTCAGTGCCTGCCCCTCCGTCACATGATTGCATTTGGGGTGCTTGGCAACCAGTCCATATTTTCGGCCATTTGCAGCATCCCATGGTAATGCGATCCTGATTTTCTGCCTTCTTTGATGGAAACCGGCATTTCCCAGCCAAAAATGCCCATTTGCTACAATGGGTTTGTTTAATGACTGCAGTACATATACATAATTCCCTTAATGATCACGGCAAAAAAAAGATGGTAAAATCAGGAACAATCACATGGTGGCCCACTTAACCACCACGATTTAAGATCATAATTCCAGGCTCAGTTATGGTCTTAAGTTGAATACAACCTACTTTTAATTAGCTAAATTTTACTATGAGATCTGTGGTTACACGATAACTTTTGAGTTCCCCGTTTTGCCAATCTTCTGCTGCCGCCAACCCTTTTCTTTTCATTTTGGAACAGACACCACCTAAGGTCCTGTCCAAGGCCCACCACTACATTTCATCCACTATTTTCAACTGCTCATCCTTCCTTTCCTACCGAAGAGAGATCTGTTACCTTCTCCAGGTTCCAACTCTGCACCAAAGCGATATCCTTCCTCAAATAATTCCAGGAGACCAGGCTTTTCATGTTGACATGCAGCTGGTGCCATAAAGACATCACCTTCTGGTAGAGCTGCTCCACTCTATAAGAAGAAGGCAAAGATTTTCCTAAGCTTCTCCTCAAGCGAGCTCCATGACTGAGCAGCAGCAACACCCCACCCCCATGCAATGAAGCCCTGGCTCATGATAACATGGTGCTCAACAAAGGATGATCAAGGATTTCAAGTACTTTGAATCTTTGCAGGAGCTGATCTCCTTGCCGTTACTGTACTCAAACTCCAGACACTTTACATTTTTCCTTTGACTGTCCATGTTCCCTCCTGGCTCTTCGTGAACAAGTCTTTGCCATTGTTATGGCACCGTTACTTAATTAGTTTGCTCCTACTTTTATCTGGGACATTTCTCAGATTCCCAGTCTGGCCAACAGTCTGTCATTTCCATTAATCAGTGAAATGAGGTGCTTCCAGAAGTTGTGGGTGCTCCAAAATTGGAAGTTTTAAAGAAGAGATTAAACAGCCATTTGTCTGGAATGGCATGGGGTCTCCTGCTTGTGCAAGGGGTTGGACTAGAAGACCTCCAAGGTGCCTTCCAACTCTGTTATTCTGTTCTATTATTCCAACTATCCCACTCTTGCTTAGCTTCCAAAATGAACCATGTTTAGCGAGGTGTGGACACCTGCAGTTGGCTGGCATACATCTGTTTTATAGCACCGTTCTTAGCTCAAATATCCATATCTATTTAAAAATGTGCATTTCAAGTTAAAATGCAAAAAAATGAAAAAGGTGTTTGTACAAGGATGTATTGCATACAAAATGCATAATTTCTGAAAATCTATGAAAAACAAATGTGATTTTTTTGTGGGTATTTCAAATGTTTATTCGTACATTGATAGGGAGTTTATAAATGAGGATCTCTGGGGACCAAGACAGCCTGAAAAGAGACAGATCTACCCATCCCTCCTCGGAGGCTGCTTCTCACCATAGTCGGGGAAGATAACTTTGTTTTAATGTTCTTCAAACCCAACTTCAAAGTAGTAAAAGCATCTAAAAATTCAAATTAAAACAAAGCAAAGCAAAAAAGAAAATAGTTGAGCAAAATACTGCAAAACCTAAACAAAGAAACAAAACAGAAAAGTTCAGACTTCATGTTTTGGAAGCCAATCCTTCTTTGGTAAAAGAAGAAGAATCAATTCTGATATCCTTGCACGAAACGCTGCACCCAGAGTTCCCTTCAAGCGCTTCTTGCCCACCACAGGCTGTGGAGAACTCTGCAAAGCCGCTACAGGGGTCAGTCCAGGGCCCTGAGCCCAGTCACTTTACCTGCTGGCCATTTCGATGGCCTCTCTGTTGGGAGGGGGAACCAAGAAGCAAACAGAGGGCACCGTGGCCTCATTCCCAGCGGGACTGATCACTCTCCATTTGGTTCGCTGAGCGTTGTCTTTCAGCACACACTCATCGTTGCGGCAGATCGTGATCTGTGGAGGTCAACAAGGTGTTTCTGTAGTCCAGCAGACATTTCTTTTTGCCCCATTAAAGACCCTCTGATTTGGGGTGCCAAACCGGCCTCCCTCCTTCTTCAACAGGATACTTGAAACTTTCCAGAGTTTCCTAGCGGCTTATCTCTATGATGAAATACCAACAAAGCTTTGACCACACGGGATTGTTTTTCTGCAAGATCGAATCTGGCCCTGTCACCGGGACAGAGGTTTACTTTTCTGAGCTCTCGGACTCCGTGCTGGAGCCCAACCTCAGGAATGTCTCTCATTCAGGAAATATGCGCTTTGGTTATTTTCCTCTCTCTCAGCCATCCCTAATAATGCCGGCCCCAAATTTACCAAACATTTTGCCCTCAAACACCTTCTGTACTGATCTGCCCCTCAGAACAATATCCTGGACCTGAGTTGGCATATTAGAAGGCTGCACAAAAGCCCAGGTGTGGATTAATGGAGGGAAGCCCAAACAACGGCTCTACTTGCGGTTTAGGAACAAGCCAAAGCTCTGGAAAGCTCTAGGCCGATGCTAGTTCTTCCACAACGTTTTGCTTTGCAAAGGGGTTGCTTAGTGCATTTGGAGAAGCCAAAAAGAGGCTCATCAGAAACAGCTCCTGAAACATCAACCTTTTCTTCCTTTAAGAGCAACAGAAGATGTACAGGTGGTCCTCAACTTACAACTGTTCACTTAGTGACTTTTCTAAGTTTCAATCGCACCGGACTTACGACTGATCCTCATCCTTAATAACTGCTGCAGTCCTCATGGTCACATGATTAAAATTTGGGTATGTGGCAATTACCATCTATTTATGATGGTTGCAACAACCCGGGTCATGTGACAGGATCATGTGACTATTTGTGACCTTCCCAGCTGTCTTCTGACGAGCAAAGTCAATGGGGAAAACTGGGTTTGCTTAACCCAGCAGGGAGGTGACACGGGCCTGGATCCAGGCGGTTGTTACGGCCTCCCTTCGGGAGGGGGTTCTTTCCCTCCGCACTTAAAGCGGCGGTGGTGAGACCCCTCCTGAAGAAACCATCCTTGGATCCAGCCGTTCTTAATAATTATCGTCCAGTCTCCAACCTCCCCTTTATGGGGAAGGTTGTTGAGAAGGTGGTGGCCTTCCAGCTCCAGCGGTCCTTGGAGGAAGCTAGTTATCTCGACCCATTCCAGTCCGGTTTCAGGCCTGGTTAAAGCACAGAAACCGCTTTGGTCACATTGACAGATGACCTCTGGAGAGCCAGAGACAGAGGCCACGCCTTCATCCTGGTTCTCCTTGACCTCTCAG